AACTGAAATGAAAAATGTTGGGTTAAACTGAAACGTTTTGTTTCAACTTTACTCTAAATTTTTCAGACTTTTTGATTCGCCAAAAAAACTCATTTTCAGTTTGACCTGAAACAAAATTTTTTGGGGTGTTTCAGAATTACCAGCGAAGCAAAAAGACCATTATTCACTCAGCTTTAGTTAGAACTTTCTTCACTGTATTCTTACCCATGCTGATAGACTGTTTTAGAATTTTTACTATTACACTGTTTCTGATAAATGTTAAACAAATGCATTTCTGAATTAAATCTGCAGATGAAATTATTGAACCTTTACATCAAACGTGCACAAACAGGCTCTGGAGCAGGTGACACAGTAGCAGATGTTTCTGGACAAAGCTAATGAAACTGACGACAGTGAACCAGGTCTCCTAAAGAAAGGACAGGCACTCTGATATCAGTGAAAGGAAAATTCTCACACACGTCTTTGGAACTCTTTTTTTTTTTTTTTTCCCCTTCCCAGTTTGTTTTTTGTTTTGTTTTGGGTTTTTGTTTTTTTTTTTAAACTGATGGCTACCCCTCAGCCTGCATGCAACTGTTGCAGTAGAATGATTAAAATCCAAAGAGAAAACAGTATTAATATCAGCTGGTCAAAACACAATAAATTTTAAAAATCTAATCCATCACTTTTCCTGTTCGCACTCCTCTGTGTGTCTTCCCATTAACTTTTACCAGTGTTATGACTGTATTTAAAAAGAATTTTTAAAAATGCTAATTAAACAGGAATGCTTTAAGCTTTAAAAGTTAAAATCTAAATTCTTTTGCTTTTTTATTTTTGGCTGCAGAATAACATGCCATTTTTATTGCAGTTTTGTTTAAATATCCTATCCTTTCCTAGAAAGAAGAAATTATATGAAACAAGGCAGGACTAGTCTGAACTGCAACTAGACTCAGTCACTGTGTGGGTGGTACATCATCATATTTGCATCTTGTTTGGGATATTCTGGAATATGAGAATTATACCCATAAAAAAACTGGATTGATCCAGTTCTTTGAAAGTGATATTGTTCATTGGTTGTATGTTTGTCCCATAAATAAGAATTTAGTGTGAGCAATAGAGGACTAGTACAGCTAGCACATCCTAATGTGGAAGACAGCCCAGTTCAGGGTCCAGTGTTGCAGAACTGGTGATAGTGTGACAACCTGCTTTCTAGCAGCAGAGAAAACAATTACTTGATGGACCTGAAGCATCCTTGTCACCATCCTTTCTTTAAGCAGGATGCCTCAGAGTGGAGTGCTCTGCCCAAGCATGCTCAGTATGTATTTATCTTTATCACTAGAATGTTTCCTCTCAACCTAGTTGCTGGAACCAGTAGTGTTGTATTGTAACTCACATGGGGGGGTATATGACAACAGTGCAGTTCATTGGTTGTCTTTTTAAAAGCACTACAACATTCTGCACTGAATTTTTAGGGTTGGGGGAGAATCACAAGCACTATGAATCTTGCCACTTTTTCAAAAAAAAATGTTTTGGATGAATTGGGAAAGATGCACCAAATTATTTGCATGGTTTTCTTGAATAGCATCATCAAGACCCATCTGGATTTAAGGCGTGAAAATGTTTTCAAGTTGTTGTTTTATTCTTCAAATTTTAGTTTATTGTTAATAATGCTTCTTTGTATTTATAATAACGGAAAGAGAGAACAAAAATCAAGTAAATATATGTCCCTGAATGTCTTCTGTTTCTCAGATGTAATCAACAAGCTACTTAGTTGAGAGATGGGGTAAAACAGCACCCTGTCCAGGAATGATGGAACCTGGGGTTTTTTTACTATGGTATGGTCTAGTTTTAGGAAATGTGTCCTGGTAAGAGAGAAAATAGCAGTGCCAAGGATGATGTTCTGTGCTAGACTAAAATTCTCTCTACTTCTTCAGGGTGATTACTTTTGACTGAGCTGCTGCCCATAGTGTCTTGTGGAAAAACTGTCTATAGAAATCTTTTTTTAATTATTTTTTCAAATCACCATTTGCTACTGTGTATTCGAAGCCCTGTTCTTTATCATGTAGCCAAATATAAGGAACTGCTAGTGTACTTCAATTGCTAGTTACCTTGAAAGACAAAACTGAATAAAAGTGGAGCTGGATACTTGCAATTACATTCTTTGAGAGGTTATTTTCACTTAATCAGAAGTGAAACTGACAGAGAAAGTTGAGACATGGTTATTAAAGAAGCAGTTTGCTGTTGTTGCAGAGATTTGTTTTCTTTGGGCAGGGGGAAATGTAGAAATGTATGTAAAAACTTTAAAAAAGGAAAATTCTCATGATTTGTCACTGGCCCTTTTTTTTAGCAGCTGCATCAGGAAAGTAGTGTCTCCCCTTTCTCTCCTCCCTTGTGTGCAACATTCTCTTTGTTTTCTACTGTTTAACTACATTGTGTATTTATAGTTCTTTGCTTACCATTGTGCATATACTGGCAATAAAATGTACATAACATTACTTGAAAAAAAATTAACAATGTATACGGGCTATTTTTCTGTTTTATTTAATCATGTTATATGAAAGATTATAGATGTCATAGGCACCAATATTGGTTTCAAAAGATTCTGCATAATTGCTGTGTGTGCGGAATGCTGCTTTTTTAGACATTCTAAGTATCCCATTTTTTATAAAGGATTTTGCTATCTTTATTTCAGTGGTACAGAAAACCCCTCTTTTTTAAAATTGTCACTCAGATTACAGTTTAACAGCTCTACTTTAACCCTTCTTCATAAGTGTGCATGTATAAGGTCTTAATTCTGTTTGTTCTGAAGATTGTTCTTTTAAGGCTTGACCTCAGGAGGACTTTGCTGTTTCCATTCTTTCCGAACATGGAGTCTGTCCTATTTACACTACAAAAATAACCCTCTTTAAATATGTTTATGGCCTAATGTTATAACTCTTTTTTTCCTTAATGGTGTGGACAGGGAAAAAAAAATAAAAATCAGTCCCTTAGAGAGAGAGAGATGTTATCTTCGGTACACAGATAGCAAGGCTAAAAGTTGGTTCTTTACTTTTTTGGCGGTGGGGAGGAATTGTTTATCTTCACAGAGACAAAGAAATCTTGTTTTTATAAGAAGCTTGGACCACAGTCATGTGTCACACCATATTTAAACATCCCATGTCCTAAAAAAACTAAACATAAATTTAAAATTTTTTAAACATTTTAAATTTATCAATAGTGACCTGATATCAACTTGACCATATCTGCTAGTCACAGGGAACAGATTGCTGAGCATGCACTTTCCTGTGAAAAGCATGTTTTATATTCATTTAATCATAGGATAGGAGTGTGGAAGTTTACAATAAAAATGCATGCTGCTCCCATTAACATTGGACAAGCTACAATAATCCTTTACTTGGGCTTTATTTCCTATATTGTAAATAAAAGCTAGCTCGGTTTAATTGCAACTGTAATCAATGGTGTCTTATACATGTTAAACTGGAGATCTCTAATGAATGCACATAAAGATGTAGTGCAGTGAAAAGAAATTTTACAGTGTTGTTGGTTAGCAAAAAGTTCAGATAGTTCTAAGGATGATGTCATCTCTTAATAGCCTTTCTTTCCTTGTAAGGTTATAATGCAAAACTTTTAAGCTGGAAGACATTGTATTGTACCTGTGGTTCTTAAAAAGTTTGATTTTGGGGGTAGAATATCTATATTTTGCAATTGAATGTAAAAATGAAACCACAATATATCCAGAGTCAGAATAATAAATGTAAAGGTCATTTGACATGCCAGTTGTCTTAAAATAAAATTTGATTGTTGTGTTGTGCTCAACCTAAGCCCCAGCCAGGAAGTTGGGGTAATTAGTTGAAGGCACACTGTAAACTTAAATTGTGTTGATTTTTAATTTTGTTTAAAATGTTCCTTTAAAAACTACAGACTACAGATTTGTTTTCAGTGTTTTAAGGGCTGAGGCCTAGGATAAGGATTAAATACTTGTGTTCTGGGAAAAAATATTTCAGGAATATCCATGCTAGCCTTTACAAACGTGTTAGTTACCTTGAATTAATTGGCAATAAATTAATTCAAGGTAAAAAGTCTATCGAAGACAAACCCCAACTGTCAATTTTCAGTAAAGGAAGCATTTTAAAAGAATTCTCAATTATAAATTTCAAATATAATGTTTTCCTTTTGAAAACAAATACATGCAAGGCAAAGCCAGACTGAGGAGTAAGTCTGGTGAATTACGCAGCAATAAATGTATTTGATGCTTAATGGTAACAGGAATTTTCTGTTTGTTGTGGTAATGTTGTTGTGACGAGGTCAAATCTTTTGAGCCATAGACTTAGAATATGGTAAACATTAAACTAAGCAAGAAGGAAATAAAGTGGGGAATTTGTGACCAGCAAGGTTATCAGGAGAATGAAAACTAGTGTTTTTCCATTTTAGCAAACTCTTACCAGTTTTGCAATTGCAACTATCATAAAATAGTCTAGTACCACTGAATTTTTAATTAGTTTGTTTTCATAAAAATTTTCTTCAAAATAAATTGTAAATAAATACCTTTCTAATTGTCCAGTGTAAATTTTGCCCCCAACCTTTCCAGGCATGCAACTTTGTAGACTGAAAAGATATACCTCATTGATCAAAAATGTTCTCTTAAAATTCATTGAATGATATATAATTTTAAAAAGTTTGTCTACTTAAATACAGGGAAGATTTTCAGAAGGACTTACAGGATATACAAGCCCCATTTGAATCTTTATGCTTCTTAATACCTTATACACTGAAAATTTCACTACACACCTTTAATAAATGTTTGTCATTTACAAATGCCCCAAATACATGTTTCTGGACTGTTTCAGTCTCATGTAAACCTTCCAAAACTATGGAAGTTAATGTTGAGTTCAGGATGAACTCAGCCTAAAACTGTTGAAAATAGACAAAATATCACTGTTTCATAGATTAGGGGACTGGTAATGGAATACAGAGCCTAGGTTGCCAGTCAAAGTCCACTCCAGGTTAATGATGAGAGATTGATATTTGGTGACTAAGTGAGATTTATTTGTGAAATAAATTAGTAGTCTGTCTAGCTCCTACATATAAATATTTATATTTCAAAAAATGCTGTCTGCATCACATTGAGCTCCTGTGCTGATAATTTCTGTACACATGCCATGGACTGAATGGGTAGAAATTGCAATATCCTCTCACCATTAGAGATCATTTCTTCAAGTCAGTCTGAGGCATTTTGATGTAGTCATGTGGGAACATTTGAGGCTGCCCAGGCCTTATTTGTTTTATAGATTAACAGAGCATTTCACATTGGCTTCTTTCCCTGACACAAGCTCTAATTTGGTACCCACGTTAACAAGTGCCATTTTTCTCCACAAGTCCTTTTTGTCAGGTTTGTCTCCCTCTGCAGTGGATTAGGAGATAGCACAGCCAGTCTCTTCCTCTTACCATCCATACCTCTTCTGGAGACCCCATCCTGAATTTGGAAAGATGGAACAGATAATTGACAGGCAAGCAAGAAGAAATCCTTTTCCTCTTACTTTTGTTATAAGTATAAAGCATTTCTGTATGTATATTTGTGAAAACACTGTCCCAAAGAAAGTTTTACATGTTGGCTAACCTCAGCTATGTAAACAGTTTCAGAAGAATGATTGGGACAGTAATGCTTACTCCCTGTTAAGTACTGAAGCAAATTTCCAGGTGGGAAACTTCCAAGTTTATTAAGACTGTGACTGCCACATTATTTAACTACCATAAGAAAAAGCTGAACAATTATTTTAATACTGTCAGATTTCAAAGAGGTTTGTAATCAAGCTAGATCCTCTGAGAAACTATTGCAAGAGACTTTTTATAACGAGTTTTAGAGTTCTTAAATGATTAATTCTGAAACTTTGATAAGAGACCACCGTCAAAAAATCACCAGTGAAAATTGATTGTATTCACAAGTTTTAGTAAAATATATATTATGGGATGATTTAGTTGGAAAATTCCTATAGTGATATTTACAAAAGCATTCTTTAAAAAACTATCAGTGGTCTGTTACTGTTAAGCAGTAGTGACTGATAAGAACATAAGAATGGCCGTGGTGGGTAAGACCAATGGTCCATCTAGCCCAGTATCCCAGCTTCCAACAGTGGCCGATGCTAGATGCTTCAGAGGGCGTGAACAGAACAGGGCAATTACCAAGTGATCCATCCCCTGTTGTCCAGTCTCAGCATCTAGTAGGCAGAGGTTTAGGGACACAGAGAGCATGGGGTTTTGTGCATGATGACCATCTTGGCTAAGAGCCTTTGATGGACCCATTCTCCATGAACTTCTTGTTCTTTTCTGAACCCAGTTATATTTTTGGGCTTCACAACATCCCCTGGCAACAAGTTCCACAGGTTGACTGTGCATTGTGTGAAGAAGTACTTCCTTATGTTTGTTTTAAATCTGCTGCCTATTAATTTCATTGGGAGACTCCTGGTTTATGTGAAGTGGTAATTAACACTTTCTAATCACTTTCTCCGCACCATTATTTTATAGACCTTTATCATACCCACTCTTAATCTCTTTTCTAAGATGAATAGTTCCAGTCTTTTTAATCTCTCCTCATATGGAAGCTGTTCCATACTCCTAATAATTTTTATTGGCCCTCTGTATTTTTTCCAATTCTAATAGATTTTTAAGATGGACCAACCAGAACTGCACACAGTATTCAAAATGTGGGTATTCAAAATGGATTTATATAGTGGCATTATGGTATATTCTGTCTTACTTTCTATCCCCTTCCTAATAGTTCCTCACAGTCCTAGCTTTTTTGACTTCCGCTGCACATTGAGCAGATATTTTCAGAGAACCATCCATGACGACCTGAAGATCCTTCTGGAGTAGTAACTGCTAATTTGTAACGCTTCGCAGTCAGCTGTGGACTTAACTATCTTGAGTAGTTTAGAACTGTCTGCAAAATTTGCCACCTCACTGTTTACCTTTTTTTCCAGATAATTTAAGAGTATGTTGAATAGCACTTGTCCCAGTACAGATCCTTGTGGGACCCCAATCTTTATCTCTCTCCTCTGTGAAAACTGACCATTTATTCATGCCCTTTGTTTTCCTATCGTAACCAGTTACTGATCCATGAGAGGAGCTGCCCTATTATCCCATAATTGCTTACGAGCCTTTGGTGTGGGACCTTGTCCAAAGACTTTCTGAAAGTCCAAGTACAGTATATCCACTGGATCACCTTTGTCCACGTTTGTTGACATCCTCAAAGAATTCTAATAGATTAGTGATGCATGATTTCCCTTAACAAAAGCTGTGTTGACTCTTCACCGACATCGTGTTCATCTGTGTGTCTGATAATTCTGTTCTTTACTATAGTTTCAGCCAGTTTGCTTGGTACTGAAGTTAGGCTTACTAGTCTGTAATTGCCAGGTTCACCTCTGGAGCCTTTTTTAAACATGAGTGTTATATTAGCTATTCTCCAGTCATCTGGTACAGAGGCTGATTTAAGCAATAGGCTACATACCATAGTTAGTAGTTCTACAATTGCAGATTTGAGCTCTTTCAGAATGTTTGGGTGAATACCATCACTTCCTGGTGACTTATTACTGTTTAATTTATCAATTTGTTCCAAAAACTCCTCTATCAACACCTTAATCTGGGACAGTTCTCAGATTTGTCACCTAAAAAGAATGGCTCAGGTGTGGGAATCTCCCTCACATCCTCTGCAGTGAAGACTGATGCAAAGAATTCATTTAGCATCTCTGCAAGGCCTTGTCTTCCTTGAGTGCTCCTTTAGCACCTCAATTGTCCAGCGGCTCCACTGATGGTTTGGCAGACTTCCTTCTTCTGTTGTACTTTAAAAAAAATTTCCAGTTAGTTTTTGTGTCTTTTGCTAGTTGCTCTTCAAATTCTTTGAGAAAATATTATAAAAGGTATAGTATGCTAAATGTACTAATGTTTAGAGGCACAGAGATAAAGTATTAAACACTTGTGTAATTTCCATCAAGTATAAAGTTTCTGCAGATCTTAGTGTGTTTAGAAACCTTTGTATCTGTGTTTGAACTGAGCCTGTTTCAGGGAAGTGGCAATGGAATAAATAAAGGGAATGTAGAGAGTTCTGGGGAATATCCTTCTGGAGGGGAAAAAAGTAAAATACGTGACACTTTTGGTGCAAATTGGCATGTTCTACAGACAAAAAATTTGCTTATCAAATGTACCCTTATCATCTAAGAATGAGTCCTCACTGGCAAGGGATTAGAAAGGCAACTGAACTCCATCAGAGACTTGGAAAGTTCCTACGTACTCCATCTGCTTCATTTTGAACATTGCTTTGTAAATAAGCACTATGTACAGTTGATTGTTTTATGTTCTTATGTATCCAGTTATTCTTCGAGTGCTTGCTCATGTTGATTCCATTCTAGGTGTGCGCCCGCCCACATGCGCGGCCGTCAGCTTGCCTCAGCATGACCCATAGGGCCGACTGTAGTGCCCTCTACAGTGCTGTGCTCATGCCGCGGTATCCAGGTGCTGCCAGCCCACGCCCTCTCAGTTCCTTCTTACAGTCCATGGTGTCAGTCAGAGCGCCTCTCTTGCTTGTCAAGAGCTAGCGGTTTCTCCCATTGGACTTCAGGCCTTTGTTCGATTGTAGTTAGTGTTAAGTAGTTGTTAAGTGCATAGTTAGCTGATAGTTAAGGTCCCAGCGGGCACTTTGCCCCAAGCTCCCGAATTTAAGCCCTGCTCAGTCTGTGGCAGGCCTATGCCTGTGAGTGACCCCCAAAAATAGCTGCTTTAAGTGCTTGGGGGAATCACAAATCAAGGAGCGTTGCCAGATCTGTAAGAACTTTCGGTGTCTCATCCCGAAGAAGAGGGACATTTGCCTCAGGGATCTCCTGGTGAAATCTGCTCTCCTCCTAGCTTCCGAGCCCTCTATGCAGGCTGCACCGAGTACTTTGGCCTCCGTGTGCAGTGCACCACGGCACCCGCACCTCTTGGTGCCAGCACCAGTGCTGAAGAAGAAGGCGAAGAAGTACTTGCCAGCACCAGGCAAGAAGGACCCTGGGGTCATCCAGTAGAGGGATTGGGCCTGTCCACCAACCTTCTCCAGAGTATGCCTCCCTGGCTGGGGCTCTTAGCACTCTTAAAGGTCTGTCACTGATTCTGGTGAGCAGTATGGGACCCACCATCCAGCCTGCACCATCGTCCTCGCAAGCCCAGGCGCAGGAGCACAGGTCTCCACCATCTCCTGTGATGTCTCCGTTGCCACAGGACCAAGCTAAGGCGCCCTGAGAAGGCAAGCCAGCTGTTAAGACCCCTCTAGGGGTGGGGGAGCGCTGTAGGTCGCTGGACAAGCAATCCTGTGGCAGGTTGCAACCGTGCCTCCAGTCGCCCAAACTCTCCCACCCCGGACGCCGAGATGTTATTCCCCAGTGCGAAGTTGATGCTCCCCATATTATGATGGGCACCGTTCGCCTTCTCACGGATCCACATCTAGAGGTTGGTCTCGATCGCCAACACCATGGAACAACTTGCCCCTCATGTTACCGGTCTCCGCAGCACCGTTCCCACTGATGCCGATGTCCCTGGCACTGGGACCGTTCTCCCCAGAATAGCCACTGATCACACCTGGTCAGCGCTCACCACTAGCCACAACCAGTAAGCAGACCCAGGCGTTGATGGCTCCTCCCTGGTCACTGGAGAGTGGTTCCTCTTAGGCAGAGGCCCAGTTCAGCCCATCGCTCTGGTCTCTGTGATCGGACTGGGCACCAGAAATTATTCTGCCATCCACAGTACCGCAGTGGCAGCAAGGCCAGTGGCCAACACCGTGGCTGTATTGAGGCGCATGGGGCGTTCCGGTGTGCCAGCCAAAGGTTTTGAGTACTTGTATACCCACACTCCCTCGGGCTCGCTGGTTGCGTTGGCAGCCAACAAGAAGGATAAGCAGGTCCCCACCGCCTCTACCCCCAAGTACAAAGAAGCCGAGAAACTTAATTTATTTGGCAGAAAAATGTATTCAACAGCCAGCTTACGATTCTGGGTGGCGAATCATCAGGCCCTGCTGGGCCAATACAATTTTAACCTCTGGGACAGCCTCCAGAAGTTCCAGGACTCCCTCCCTCAGGGTCAGGCTCAGAAGTGTGGTACCCTGTGTGACAGGGTCAGGCCAGATGGCTACAGGAGAGTGATAGAAGGCAGATATATTAGCCCCAGGTTAAGTAGGTCCCTTTTCCCTGGGTAAGGTAGCAGGGAAGGAGCCAGAACAATCAGGAACTTTCTGGAAAAAATTAAGGCAGACAGGCTGATTAGAGCACCTGCAGCCAATCAAGAAGCTGTAAGAATCAATTAAGACAGGCAGGATAATCAGGGCACCTGGGTTTTAAAAAGGAGCTCACTTCAGTTTGTGGTGTGCATGTGAGGAGCTGAGAGCAAGAGGTGCAAGAAGCTGAGAGTGAGAAGGCATACTACTGGAAGACTGAGACGTACAAGCATTATCAG